AGAGTCCTGGGATGGAGTTCAGGGCTGCAGGGCTCCCTGCTCAGCAGAGGGGCCTGCTTCTCCCTCTCCTCTGCCCCTCCCCCTGCTTGTGCTCTGTCTCTGTCAAATAAATAAAATCTTTACAAAAAATAAAAATAAGTCACAGAGATGAAAAGTACGGCATGGGGAATGAAGTCAATAATATTTTAACAACATTTGTATGGAGACAAATGGGGACGACACCTAACATGGTGAGCACTAAGAAATGCATAGGATTATTGAATCACTATGTGGTACACCTGAAATTAATACAACATCATATGTTAACTAAACTTCAATTAGGAAAAAAGAAAGGAACAAAGAGACTGAGTGAGGTGAGGGGTGGGAAAGGAGACAGCCAGCTTCCTCGCCAGGGGCTTCAGGGAAGCCAGGCCCCAGACTAACCCACTCAGGAAGCATTCTATCAGCTGTGCCTGGCTTTAAAGGCATGAGCTCACCAGGGTCCTGCTTCATTCCTCCTGAGAATATGTTTAGAATTCAGCACTACTTTTCCCAGAGTTATGTATGGTCATGTCATCTGAGAGAGCTTTCCTGTAACCACAGTCACCCGGTCGTTGAACGAAGAACCTACTCTCAAATTTGGATCTTTCCTTAGAAATCAACATTTATCAAAGCTGCAAAGCACAGCACTCCATTATCTACCATACATTCAATGACAGTACATTTTCAATAAAATTGTAAAGCGACACGTAGCCTATGATTATACTAAGAGCCCCTGCCACTTACTGACCACCTATTTTGGCTGGTCAGTAAAAAAAATACACACTTCATTTAAAATTTCCAACAACTTTAATGAGGTAGGGGAACACCAGACCCTTTTTCTCTAGATTTAGAGAGATGACAGAACTAGCCCAAGGTCTCCTGGCTGATTAGAGGCAGCGCTCTCAAGTATACCCAAATTTAATTTTATGTGGGAATACGTTATGTGGGAAAGTGCAAAGAATCACAGATTAATCTAACTCTGACTGTGTCTCCACGCTGGACAAATTTGGGGTAATTTCTATCTTATTTTGTCCTGGATGGAACGCTAGCCAAAGATGACCAAAGGTTTCACGTCAGGGGCCAGCTCTGACAGACTAAGACCCCTAGGGAAGGACTGGAAGGCTGCAGGAAAAGGGGCTGTGTTCAGTTACACGCATCTGTGAAAGGCACTGGTGCGGAGATGCTCAGCCACCAGGCACTCACGCCCCACAGGCTTACGTGAAGCATTATGTAACCACCATGGACTTTCTACTGGGTGCTCATTACCTAGATACCCTCCCCTTTCGAACACAAGTTTAGGCAAATATTTAAGTCCTACTGTCACACACGAGGGTTACCAATTAGTATACGACAGACTAGGATACTCCCCAGAATAGCATTTTTACCAACAAATGAGAGTCACTGCCTTCCCCCCACATCCCGTCAGCTGTCAGTTTTTTTTCCTCAGACTGGGTCTTCTTACATGAACTTGGTCTCCCAACAGTCTCTTCAGCTCCACAAGCCAAACCCCAGTCTTCCTATTTAGGACTCAGAAGCTTTTGTGTTCTAAATATTGTCTTTATTTTTAAATGAATAAAACCAAGAGCCTTGTTTATGAAACATAAAATAAGGCTTCTGGGAATACCAACAACTACAGCAAAGTAAAGGAAAAGGACTTGATTCAGGCTTTCCACAGCAGATAAGCTTCAACTAGAGAAATTTTGAAAGGATGTATATATTACGTATGTGATTTTTCCAAGATAGCAGTAACTACTATTAAATAAGTTGCCAAGGGATGCGTGGGTGGACTCAAGTCAGTTAAGGGTCCAACCCTTGGTTTTGGCTCAGGTCATGATCTCAGGGTCGTGAGATCAAGCCCTGCATCGGGCTCCACAGCTTAAATCAGAGTCTGCTGGAGACTCTCTCACCTTCTGACCCTCCAGCTCATGTGCTGTCTTTAAAAAAAAAAAAAAAAGGTGCCAAAAGCAAAATGCCTAAAATAGATAAGGTGAAAGGTCTTTCCAGTGAAATACAACAGAAAATTACTAAGAACAAGCAACTGTCCACAGATATTTCCTCTGTTGAGCTATAACACTACTAAGTATCTACCCAGCAAAATTTGTATACATTCACGCACACCTGGACTTTACATATTTCTCTAAATGCAGCTGTTGGCAAAAACACTTTTTTTTTTTAAAGATTTTATTCATTTATCTGAATGATGTTACCAATTAGTAACTCTTACATGAACTCTCTGAGAGAGAGCACACAAGCAGGCAGAGCGGGCAGGCAGAGGGAGAGGGAGAAGCAGGCTCCCCGCTGAGCAGAGAGCCCAACATGGGGCGCGATCCCAGGGGTCTTGGGATCATGACCTGAGCCAAAGGCTCAACCGACTCTCAACTGACGCTCAACCAACTGAGCCACCCAGGCTCCCCAGCAAAAATACTTTTAAACGTATTCATACACATACAGCTAAGAACTAGACTAAATAAGGTTTGGCTCAAATTATAACAGTGAAGTGATGAAGAGAGCTAACATTTATATAGCATGTTGACACATCTTAACTAACTGAAAATGGGAAAATGGGCAGCCTGAACCATGAAGGAAGCCTGCCCTCATTAGACCAATAGGACAAGGTTTCTCCTGGTCACTAGAGCAGCCTGAGGAATTGCAATCCCTTTCAAAGCATGTGATGAGCCTCAGCCATAAATGGCATTTACATAGCTCTCATTGTATGATGAATAAGTGATACTGATTTATCCCGAGACTGTAAACATAATTACCTGGGTGAGGAGAAGTGTTGAAAAGGGAGCTGAAACTTCATCTTCCACACAAAGAAGTCAACAGATTCTACTAAAAGCCAAAAACTGTCACTTATGTAAAAATATAAGGGTTAATACCTAAAAATAATAGCTACAAAGTGAAAAAGGTAGCCACTGGGACATAGGAAAACATCAGGGACTGTTATTTTTCATTATGAGACTTATAAAAATATTTGATTTCTTTAAGTACACAAATAAATGCATGACTTTGATAAAAATTTTAAATTAGTTTCATTTGAACTAAATAAATAAATACACATACATACATAAAATGCTGTCTAAATTGCTTAGAGGTTAGGACAAAAAGAAGGAAAAATAATGGAGGTCCTCACTGATTATATACAGTCATCTTTTTGTACCTAAAAGACCTTCCTTTTTCAGTGAGCTGGAGTTTTAGAAAGCGAGGGGTCTCTGGATTGCTAACAAAAGGGTAACAATGTACCAAGCACAGGAAGCCAGCCTGGACAGCCTTGACAATATGGGGTGACAAAAGCTGCAGAAAAATCACCTGCCCTCCTGGCCGACAGGTCAAGTTGACTCCATGAATAAGAGACTCAGGGAACATAGGCAAAAAACTCACCTTCCCCCAAAACCAGGTGAGATAACCACTACCATCTGTGACACAGTACAAGGTCTGAGAAGTGGCCTATTCAGAATTCAAATTAAGCCATACAGGAATTCAGAGAGGGGGTAACCATTCATTCATTCATTCTTAGTGGTAAGATAAGGAAAAGCTCCATAAATGGTGGAGTCTGAGCTGGGTTTTAAGGGATGCACAGGAGTTCAACAGGTAGAGATGGAAGACAGGATCTGTTTCAGGACGAGGAAATAATAGCCTGACATAGCCAGAGGTGAAAAAATAAAACAGATGGTGTGTTTGGAAATGGGACATGGTCTAAGCCACATCAAGATGCACATGCTGTCATTGCCTCAAGTGGAAAATGTGGGGACAGGTGGGGGACTCCTGAGACAGTTTAGTGGTTCCTGACAGAGTACAAGACTACAGACATGATTAAGTTAAATAAAATAAAAAGGGGTGTTTTTCTAAAATTAAATAGTTGATGAGAATATGCCCCCTGTGTCTGCTTAGGACAGACTAATATTTAGCTCATTACTCATGTCATGCCTGTCATGACCCCAAGTTTCCCTAAGGCCTTAGCTTTGTGCTAGTGAATTCCATCAATACTTTCTCCTTATAACTCCCCAAGAGGATGGGACTCATAGACTTAGAGATTTGGGTTTCAAGTACCTTCAGTTCTCCCTTCAACTTGCAAATGGAATACCATTATAAATGGACAAATTCCTTTAAAAAAAAAAATACTTTTCCCCCTTTGTCTTTTTCACGTAATAGATGTTCCTTTCAAAACTGCAATCATGGGGTGCCTGGGTGACTCAGTTGGTTAAGTGTCCAATTCTTGATTTCATCTTGGGTCATCATCTCAGGGTTTGAGATCAATGGGGGTCAGGCTCCATGCTCAGTGGGGAGTCTGTCTGAGGTTCTCTCCCTCTGACCCCTCCCGACTCATGCGAGCACATATTTGCAGGCTCGCATTTGTGTGCGCGCTCTCTCTCAAATAAATAAATAAATCCTGGGGCACTTGGGTGGCTTAGTCAGTTAAGCGTCCAACTTTTGATTTCGGCTCAAGATCATGATCTCAGGGTCATGGAATCAAGCCCTTCATGAGGCTCACGCTCAGCAGGGAGTCTGCTTAAGACTCTCTCCCTCCCCCCCACCTCCAACCCCGCTCACACTCTAAATAAGTAAGTAGAGATTCTCTCTCTCTCCCTCCCACAAAAAATAAAAATCTTTTTTAAAATAAATTATTTTTTTTAAAAAACTTCAATCGTAAATTGAACCAAATGTGATCCACATAAGCCCCAAGTACTGGTTTTGGTTAAAATATATACATCTAACTCAAGGTTTCTATGTATCTGAGCAAGTTGTAGCAGTTACCAGACTACAAACTTATTCCTCCCTATCAAATTGAATATTTATAAAATCAGTTCACTTTTACATACAAATCATAAGCCTTCAAAAATAAAAGTAAGCCTATTAACTTTTACTCTGCCCTTTATCAATGTTTACAAGTCTCATTTATGAAACACAAGTAAATCTTAGAAGAAAAAAAATTATGGAACCAACACATCTTTACTTTTGTTTTCTTTTAATTCCATGAGTAAAACTGGTAGGTGCTGAAGATACAAAACTGACAAGATATTGCCCTGCCTTCATCAGCTCCCGTTCTAGTTGGGAGAAACAAAGAGAAGACCATTAAAGAGCACAGGTAAAGAATTCAGTTATACCCCAGGGCCCTTTCAGCACCCAGGTGATGATATGGTCACCAGGTGACCAATAAATAGGAGCTGACTGATTAGTTAAACAGATGGTTGTAAGAATAGGTTGGTGGATCAATAGTATTTCTGGCTAACAGAAAAGAGGGTAAGTGGGCCAAATAGCATCTGAAAGCAGTGCTTCTGCAAGTATAATAGGATAAATTGAACTCAGACAAATTTACTAAACAGTTATGTCATCATTTTAGTGCATTTTAAAAAATAAACACATGAAACCTAGAATTTCAAAGATACTTTTCCTTAGGATGAAGCCAAACATTTAGTTTTTAGGATGACTCCATGAATTTTTAAAGCAGTTCAAATTCAGGATGATCCAGGAGAAAGGAGATATTCTAAGCAGAGGGAAAGGCATAAGCCCAAACCAGGAGGCACGAACCACTGATATCTGCAAGGAGTTCAAACCAACGGACAGGCTGCAGGCAAAGCAGTGGTAGATGAGGACTGTCAAATCACAAAGCACTAGGTCTGCCAGATTCAACAGGATGAACTTACCTTGTATGGTGACAGGGACCCACATAAAGGACATGGCTATGCTTGTATTTTAAAGGGATCCCTCTCAGGGGTGAGTGGAGGGCAGACACTGGGGAGTCGACTGGAGTAGGGTTTAGTGGGAATCATAAAAAAGAAATATTTGGGCGTTTAAAAAAAAAATCATCAGGCTTTGCTGATTGGGTATGAGCAGATGAGATCATGAAGGATAATTTGATGGTTTACAGCTTGGGTGACTAATAGACAGTAGTACCTAATAAAAGGGCTTAAGTCAAGGGAGGGCTTTGAGGGGTTTTGTTTTGTGTGATAATGATAATAAGCATGACTGATAATGAGCATACTATCCTAAGAGAAAGGGAGAGAAAGTGGTAAAATGAGTAAAGTTGATGATATAGGAGACTCGGGCCCCTTTCCTCCTGAGAGAGGTATTATGATTACATTGATCCAGAGTACTGTGTAAGAACAATGAGTCCCAGCAACAATATGTTAAATGAGGAAGGAATCCAGAAATGTGGGTCAAACAGGGTGCTCAGAAACCAGATATAAGAGGAGGGATAACCTGAAGAAAGATCAGAGTCACAGGAGCACCAATTCAAGGTTGGGAATGTGTCAACATAACAGCTAAAGTAGCCCAGGCCCTGTCAGTACACCCCCTAGAACCGGGTCAAGATGGAGTGGTCAGTCACCCACATCTAACGGAGACAGCCTGGCCTTTCAATCAAGACTGATCAAGACTCCTAGGTGACCCGCCTACCTGCACAGCCTTTCCCCTTCTTCCCCTGCTACTGGAAGTGGCAAATGTCCTGGTCTAATATGCTCTCAAATATTTCTCCATTTTCCAACAAGATTTAAGGAGTTAGTTGAAGCCATGTGAAGTACAATTTGAAAATACTTCCCAATAGACACAGAAGCTATTCTTACAACAGCTTCACAGGAAGAGGTCACAGCTAGGCATGGGAAAGATCTAGCCTCCTGCTGGCTGGAGCTCTCATTTGCTCCGTTGCTCTCCTCTTGCTCTCTGAACCCAGTTTCACACCAGTCACTGTTTGGTAAGGCCTTGATAATCTGTAACCCTAAGCATAAATCATATCCAATTTATACAAGGACATAGTAGAGCTGGGGTCCGGAAGAGCACTGGACATCTGTAGTACTTGACATTCAAGCCTTTGGCCAGATGTCAACATTTCATAGAGTACTTTAAATGTTTTGGTCTGAGAGCTAATGCAGCATTTCCCACTGGTCAACACGAGCAGCCCAAGCAGAGAGCAAAGTCTATTTCCCTCAACATCAGATGTTACACTCAGTTGCTGATCCAATCTTTCCTACAGAGACGATAAGAGGCTGGAAAAACTGGTAAGTAAAAAAGGTCCATCCAATACAGAGTATATTTAAAGAATATTTGTGATTCCTATGTGAAATGGCTGTTTGTGCTCATGTTGGCTTAAATTCTTTTTTTTTTTAATGGATTAAATAAGGGACAGATTTACAGATGAGATTTGACTTTTCCAAATTCAAAAACTAAACTAAGTCTAATTAACTGTTCCCTGTCAATATTACTTTTAATCGCATGGAGCAGAATTTTCTTCCACAGGCTCATGCATTAGGCTTTAAGAAATCACTATTTTTTTAAAAATTTGTAAATTTATTGCTTGTACAACATAAGACAGTGGTGTGTGTGTGTGTGTGTGTGTGTGTGTGTGTGTGTGTGTGTAGTGGGTTAAAATCAGTTTGGGATGCGGTAAGCAGCGCTGATATAGCTGGGCATGACATAATCCTCAGAGCTAAGGGAGGTCAGTAACAAACTGAAATGCTGAAGAAAGAAAGACAAAATAGGTTTGGTTTAAGATCACAAATGGCCCCAACTCCAGAAAGACTGAAACCAAAGGTAAAATACTTCATGCAAGGAAGCATTTAAAGTCCTCTCTGAAACCTAAACGCCTGAACTACTTGTGTGGATTTAATGGTGAGTCACAATTGATTTTTAAAGGAAAGACACAGAAATTAAATAAGCCTCATAGTTGCTATTTTAGTTTCTTTTTTAATGTCTTAGGTTTGGCTTTTCATATCTTTGATTCTTCTGATTTCTTCCTCTGAGACTTCACCAACATTTAAATATCAAGTATTCAGTGTTTTTTTAGTTTTAATTTGTGGATGGCAAGGACAAAGAACAACTTGTGGAACTTATTTTTGTTTGTTTTTCTAAAATTGTATAGTAAATTTCATGAAGTCTACACTAACAGATAATTTTAAAATTTCATTTGTGCTTAGAATCCACTCTAGTATGTTTCCTAGCAAAAAAAGTTATTTAAGAGCCCTACTGGAGAAACTGTAAGAACACTGAAACTGGAAGAGGGCAGAGAGATAGGATCATTTATCAACCACAAGGGCCTCCCCACTCTGCCGGGAAAAATGTCTTAAAAATCACAAAATTTAGTATTTTTAAAAAGTGATGAGTCTTCTTAACGAATGATTCTCTAAATGTAAAAAATGCAACCTCTTAAGTCTTAATTCATTTTTATAACTACCAACTTTTTTTTAAGACTTTATTTGACAGAGAGAGAGAGAGAGAGAGAGAGAGAGCGTGAGCACAAGCAGGGGGAGTGGCAGGCAGAGGGAGAGGGAGAAGCAGGCTCCCCGCTGAGCATGAGCCCGAATGCGGGGCTCAATCCCAGGACCCTGGGATCATGACCTGAGCTGAAGACAGACGCCTAACTGACTGAGCCACCCAGGCACCCCACCTACCAACTTTCTTGCCAGTTTTCCCCACTTAAAGATAGCATTCACGGGAGAAAAATCTCTCTACACACATCTTTAGTCCTCTTTCCATTCTACAGGACTTTCCGTATCAGCCTGCCCATTATAGGGGAAGACACTTCTTCACCTTTAGTGCTTCAACACACATTTCACTACTGGCAGGGATTACCACGTGTAATCAATAAGAGTCTCAGAAAGAAAATCCAGAGTAAATGCTTGCTTTGAAAAACATAGCCAAGATCTAGACTTACTTACTTCTTGCCATAAGCCCTATAATACAACAGCAGATTTTTTTGTTAACCATTAATGTGTACTTTCACTAATAACCATTAAGTGTATTAGTACTAATCATATGAAATTTCCTCCTGTAGGTTAAAAAAAAAAAACAGCCAAATATTAGCAGTTTTATATGACTCAATCTAGCAGGAAAGGAAGAGAGACAGAGTCTCAAAAGGCAGCCCCAAAAGTCAAGTGGTGAGGAGAAAACCATTAATGGTATTTTACATAATTGTATATGACAGCGAGATCCAGGACTTCTAATTAACAATTCCAAGTAACGAATCCCCATAGATACAGCTGTCTGCTTTTAAAGGCTTTGCACAGATATTACCAAAATTGGATGTTCCCAGCAGCCACATCACACTGGGAAATGCCTCCTACTGTTGGCTCTGTTTTACCAGTTAGGAAGCTAGGGCCCAGGGAGGTTCATTGACTCAAACATGATAACACAGCTAATAAGGGCCAACGATGGGACTTCAAGGAAAAAGCCATCTGGCTTCAAATCCAGTATCCTCTCACCTATCCCATTTCTCTCTGGTCTAACGAGAGGAATGTGCCCAAAAAAACTGTAATTTATACATAAACACAAGCTGGAAATGCAAAAGTGTACAGAACATCTCTGCCTCTTAACTTGTTTGCACAACAGTGGCAATAATCACATCGCATCAAACAGTCACTATTACGGGCACTCTGATTTTTATAGAGGCAATTTTATATGGTAGAAAAAGCAGGCCCTTTGCAGATAAACAGCTGAATTTGAATCTACTGTGACCTTGAGCTACATTTCTTAGCTCTTTTGCCTCTATATCTTCCTCTGTTCCATAACCCATAAAACATCATGATAAAGCTATCACCGCAAAGAGCTGCTAAGATACTAATGGAGACATGTTAGTATCTGACACATAGCAGCTATTCAATAACAATAGAATTCTCTCCCCCATCCTTGCTAATAACTTATTATGTCAGAGATAGTATACTGGCAAGATTAAAACCTCACAGAAAATTTCTTGAGTTAGTATCTGATACTCACAGGGCCAAATAAGAAATCGCAAAATAAGATAGCATGAATACTTCTCCCAATTCACCTCCTAACACAGATATGTAACAGGAAAAGGAAGAAGTATGTTAATAGCCTTCTGGATTTTTTTCTTTGGCACCACACCAAAACTCAAAAAGTGGTGGTTTCTTAAATGTTGTTTGCAATGTAGAATCTAAATCCTCATCAATGAACATTCTTCTCACATTAAAATCCTTCAGTCTAACTTAGTCTCTGAATAAGCCTTTGATCTGTGCTAGATTTTATAACATCATAGAATCATCGGTCATTTGGATACCTTCACTCAACGCAGAATATACTCATTATATAAAAATCAAAAAATGATATTAATATTGGCACTGATCTCTAAGTACGGAAAGTGCTGTTTTCCTTGATGAAGGCTCACTTCAACCATTTTTTGAGAAAATGTCTACCAGATACCCCAGTCTGAATTACTACAGTTTGTGTATCATTCTTTCAAGTAAAAATGGTGTTCCAGGAAAAAGCATCTAATTCAGCTCATGGCTCAATCACTCAAGTGTTGTTGCTCTAGACAACCATCATATCTGGCAAAAGCTTTAGGAACAATTCCTATTCTGTAATGCAAAATATTTAAGACACATATTTAAAGGGTAAGATTTAACCAAATTAACAATATACATTCCTTCATCGAGGAAACTTAGCCTTTTCTTTTCCTGGCTACTGAGCATGCAGAGCAGTATATGCAGTGACTACAGGACAGATGTGCACATGGCCTTGACTGGTGCTAAAGTCCCAGCAGGTTTGTTTTACATACCACGGCTTTTGCACCATTCATACAAATGTCAGCATAATAAGTTTAAAAAGGCAAATAATATATTACTATTCTTTGAAAGATGGGTTGATTTTCAATGCCCTCCTGAAAGGGTGTCAAGGACCCCCAGGGACCTAACAGACCATACTGTGAGAACTATTAGTTTACTCTTTGAGATAGAAAAATTTTCTTTTGATACAAAAAACACTAACTCAAAAAAAAGCAATGACTATATTAAAATCAGTAACTTTTGTTTATCAAAATAAATCTTTAAAAGTAAAAAGACAAGTTACAATCTGGGAAATGTGATTCGCCGTATATACACCCAACAAAGCAGATATCAACAATATTTGAAGAATTTTTACAAGTCAATGATAGCATAAACAACCCAACAGAAAAATGAGAAAGTATGACTTGACATTTCATGGAAATAGCTGATTATTATATGACGAGATGCCCATATCATCAGTTATCAAGGAAACGCAAATCAAGACCACGATATATCATGTCACAAACAAAACTTTAAAAATCTGGGAATATGAAATGTTGAAGAGGATTTGTAACCACAAGATCATTACACATTACTGATAGGAGTATAAATTGGCACAACCACTTTGGAACATAATTTGGCAATGTTTCCATTATTTTAACATCCATATACCCTATGAATCGGCAATTTAACTTCTAGATTTATACCCACAGGAAAATCTTTCACATGTTCATCAAGAGACAATATGGATATACATCTCATTATAGTTTACATGGGCAAAAACCTGGAAACACCCCAAATACAGGAAACTGAGTGAATGAACTGAAATGGAATGTTATAGTCATCAAGACAAACGAATGATAACAATACTCAATAATATGGATAACATCTGGTATTATATAGTTACGTTGCTAAAAGATTACATACGACCTTTTAAAAAGACACACACACAATTTCATACACGCACATACCACAGATACACACTTCTAGGAAAACATATAGATGTTACAGAACACTATAAAACAAGACAGCAGGAGAATGAAGAAAATAGGATTCAGGATACATGATGGCCAGAGAGGAGATGTGGGAAGGAGGACAGAGCATTCAGCTACATGTAGCTTATTACTGTCTTGCCTTTTGTTTCAGTTATTGAGTTTAAGGAAAATTATTAACAATTTAACAATATTAAAAATAACAGAATTAAACCTTTTAGTCAAACTTGCATCAACTTTGCATAAGAATATTTCATAAATTAAAGTTATGGTTGATCCAATTTTATGCACCAAAGATTTTAAAAGACACCTATACATTTTAACCTATAGCACAGAAACTGTAAAACTTTAGAGGTTCTAAACACACTCATCATTTGACAGGTAAGTAAATCAACTCCTGAGTTTGACCAAAATTGTACATTCACTCATAAATTTCACTATCTATTGAACTTCTACTGTATGCCAGACACTAATTTAGCAGTGAGCAAGAGAATTAAGTCCTGTTCTCAC